AATATGGTATACACACAAAAATTAAGGAGTTTGGATGATGGAGGTTAGGAAACATTGGTTTAGACCCAGGGTCAGAAACTTTTTCTGTAAAGAACTGGATGGTAACTAGTCAAGGTTCAGGAACACCTCCTTTGCCACTCTGATGCCAAAGCAGCCATGACAGTGACAGATGGGCCCATCCCAATCATTATCATCCAGTGTATAAGGTGAATTCCTTAAACTCGGAGCCCCAGGTGTAGCCCAGCATTGACCAGGGAGAACACTACTGCTTACCCTGGTTAGTAAGATCTTAAACATATAGTCAATGCCATTTTTGTATGTGTTGATGAGGCATTCCCTCTGCCTTGCTTATGTGCAATCTGGAGAGGTTAATGTAAGCACACATTTTCTCAAATAGCACACTTCAGTTTTTAGATACAGCATATGTAAACAGTAGGTTCAAATTCCAGCTTCTTCTTTTGCTACCTCAGTCCTCATGGGCCTATTAACCACCCTCTCAGAACCTCAATTTCCTGCTTAATAAAATGAAGATATTGACACCTCTCCTGCAGGGTTGCTATGAAGAACAAATGAGATTCTGGATGTGAAAGTTTCTGGATCAAGGAGTGACACAATCAGTAAATGGTTGCTTTTTTCACTCTCTTCTTTCCTTCTCTACCTCAGTTCTTCCATATATTTAATGAGGATGCCCTTTCTGTCACTGAGCCATTGATAGAAGTGCCAACCAAGTCAGGGGCCCTGCAACACACCACCATATGCCTCCCTGAAAACTAAAAATCATCTCTTAATACTCTCAATATCAACAGTTATATTGAAATGTACCCAAATATTAGTGATTCCACCCCATATTTCTTTAATTCAGCAAAAACAAAAGGCAATTACTGAGCGTCAGCCGTGTATCATACATGGTGTTAGGCACCCGCTATGAACATGAATAATACACGGTTCCTGCATCTTAAGGAGCCTACAGCTTGGTTGGGGAGGAGAAGCTAGTAAGCAAACAGATGCTCACAATTTTCATAATTGTGTAATCTCCTGAGAACATAGGGAACTTGCCTGAGACAAGTATTAAAAGATAAATAGAAATTAACAAGGTCAAGAAGGGCTGGGAGCATCTTCCAGACTGACAGCATGCTGAGCGGTTTTGTGTGTGACAACATAAGTTATATGGTGACAGAGGTGAGGAAGGGGAATGAGGCTGGGTTAATATGGGTCAAATTGTACAAGGTTTTGCTTGTCATGCTGTGTTTATACTACAGCTTCTAGGCTATTGGCTTTCACTTTTTTTTTAGCAGTGAGGACTTTTATTTATAGCAAATCCTCTAAGTGACAATTCCATTATGTAAAACCAGCATTTTTAAGACTGATGTTTGGCTGGATGTTCCCCTACCAGCCCACGATCACCAGGGGTGGAGGCCCAGTGTAATAAGGTGCTGTGTTTAAGTTGATTTAGTTCATTGCCTTGAGTAGAATAATAGCCCATAGTGTGTTAAGTGGCTTTTCCATTTATGTCAGGCTGTAGCACTGGTTTTGTAGACCAGGTAGATTTTCAGAACTCTAAGTCATGAGGCAGCTAGTTCTTTTTTTTTTATTTAAATATTTTATTTTATATAATTCTTACATCTTTTTTCATCTTTGCACAATGTATGCATTTTCATTTTGGTTATATTCCCCATACAATTGCACCCCCCCCCCTTATTTTGACTCTAGTCCTTCCTTTCCCCATTCTTCCCTCCCCCTCCCCTCAGTGTGTCTCTGGTTTATAGTTGCTTGTTGATTTTGATTTTTACTTTGTATTGATTAGTCTTTTTCCTGGTCTCTTGTTTAGGTTTTCTAGATTCCTGCTATGAGTGAGACCATCCCATATTTTTCTTTTTCTTTCTGACTTATTTCGCTGTGCATGATCCCTTTTAGCTCCATCCATGTTGCTGCAAACTGCATGTGTTTATCTTATGAGGCAGCTAGTTCTGAGCTTTATAAAGTTGCTTGACAACCATGTGGAGAGTAGAATGAAACCAAGAGTTTTCAAGCCAATAGGAAGGCCGTTTCTTTTTTTTTTTTTAAGATTTATTTATTTACTTATACAAGCACTGGGTACAGTCAGAAGCACGGGAGGGTGAGAGACTTCGCCAGAGCCAGAGAGGGGAACAGAACAGACAGACCGATGAAATACACTTCTGAGGGGGGGCAGCGGGTGTGGTAGGAGAGGTCTGCGTACCATGTGGGACCCTTGCCAGCGGCCGGGGATCAAACCAGCGCTGCAGAGGCTGCAGACAGCTTTGCAACCCATCGCTCAATCACTGTGCCACCAGGGGAGGCCCTAGGAAGGCCGTTTCTAAAAGTAACAGCTAAGGGTCTCATTCAAGGCCATGCCAAGGGCACACCTCAGATGCACCACCCCTGCTAAACAGTATGATTTACTCTGTTTTGCTGAAGAAAACTATGTCTCAAAGAGTGAATAATTTTCCCAGTGCCAAGAGATGCTAAGTGGTAAAACTTATACTCTATATTTTGACTCCTCAAACTGAGATCCCATTAAGACTTTTCCAGCCTCCTTCTCAGCTAACTCTTCTGCTTTCATCTGTCTTTTCTTGTTGCCCTGTGGTTCTGTAGTTACCACATGTGTGGGGTCACCTGTATATTTGTCTTCCTCTCTCCCAGTACATCTCTCCCAGTACATTTCCTGACACATGGTTGACAGTCCATGGGTATTTATAAATAGAATATTTCAAAATCCTTTTCTTGGACTCACCTAGCTTCCTGGAAAGTAAAAACTTTCTCTCCTTATAGAAGATTAGATGTCCTGTCATAGGCTGGATTCACTCCAGAATGATGACCTGATAGGCCAGATGTGGTCAACAGCTGTTTCTGTTGCAACCCTTAAGTATTTACTGATCACCATGACAGGTCCCTATTTTACAAGGCTGGTAGCATGCTATCTGGTACCGCCAAAGCAGCTACGGGACCCTACTTACAACCCCTGTCTACTCAGCCCCCCATGTATCTCTGAGAAATGAGAAACCAGTCTTCTGTTTATCACAGACTCCCTGTTAGGCTGTCTCTTATCTTCCTTTGCATAATATTTCTCCTTTCTCTATCCTCTTGAGGCAATTTGCAGCCTCCTACATGAAGGAAACTCTATGTGTTCTGGTTTCCAACTTTTCTCCCCCCTCACAATAATCTTCCAGTCAGACAAAAATATCTATTGACTGTTTTTCAACCTTCTCTCCTGTTATAGCCCCATCTTTGTACCTTTGTGGAAACCATTACACTATAAGTGGGGACATTAAATATTAATCTATAGTTGGGGAGAGGAAAAGTCAACGATGGGGAAAACACGAGCCTCTTCCATCCCAGATCCCCTATTCCCAGTGTACAAATCCTAGCTGGTTGGAATACTGTGGGTGTCACTGACTCATGGAAGGGCTGCTTTGTGAGGAGGGCAGTAAACCCCCAGTTACTCACCTTTCAGTCTGCTTTGTCACCCAGAGAGCATCTATCATGCGCCCCACCTTCCACTCTCATAGCCAGTTAAACTGCTAACACCTATTAAGATGCCACTCTTTTGTAAATATGTGATTTCATCTTACTCAGTAGTTGAAGGGATTTTTTTCAGTTATTTAGTTCATTGCCTCAAACATCATAGCTCATAATGTGTTAACTAGATTTTCTATTTGTGTCACTGAAGAGTTATGTGAAAAATACAAAGAGAAAAACAACTCTTTGGAAACAATAGAAGGAAGAAAGTTAATTAACTTTAAATTAGACATAGTAGTCATTGAAGCATAATTGAAAGTTTATAAGGAGATGATCATGTATTCGTGAGGAAGATTTTTCTTCCGGATATAAAGTATTCCAATGTAAAATGTACTGACATATAGTATAACCTCACACTCCATTTCCTTATAAATGTCAAAGTCTTTTGGATGGTAAAATGCATTGAGTTTCCTGTGTTTAGAAATTCCTTAAATGAAAGATACAAATTCTATTTCTAGTTATTCTGAAAAAAAAATTTTAATATTTAACTATGTTTCTGCTCCGTTATTCTTGCTGGACTTCATTCAGAGTCTATCAAAAAAGGATTCTAAATTGCTTTAGGGATCCACAATAGACTCTATTAAGAAAATGACTGTTTTATTTTCTTTATTTTTGATGATATGCATCTCCTCATTTTCTCACCATGACTTTATATAGCTTTTATTATGAAGCAAAATGTATTTTAATTAAAAAATATTTTTTCTGAGCTGACTCAACTTAAGAGGTAAAACCAAGACAATCATCATCATTGCTTCTCAGGAAATTAACCTTCAGAAACTCCAAGCTGTGGCTGTTGAGGGTCTGACAACCGTCCTTGGGAAAGAACTTTCTCAAAGTCACCCTTGACCTTGTGCACCCTGACATTCCATGCATGGGTCTCCAGCCTTTCTCTATCTGTGACATTTCATATGATTTCATCCACTCTCCTGCCCTTGGCCCCTAGTGTGCTGCATAGTTTGGAAAGTGAGGCCATCACACCTTGCCTCTTTCTCTTCTGGATCACTAGCTTCACCATCTAGGGAAAATCTTTTTCTTTTGAGAAGTGTGATTGCAATTGAACCTCCCTTTGGCACGTGGAGATAGTGATCTTAACCAGAAATATTTGTGGAATTAGAATTTTTTCTAGTTTTTGCATTTTTTTTAATTGCAATACATACATAAAATGGATCATCTTAACCATTTTAAGTGCACGGTTCAGTAGCATTCATTCACATTGTTGAGCAGCCACCAGCCACCATCATCCCCTGGGAATTAGACTTCTCATTGTCTATTCTCATGCTGCTACCACCAAGAGGAACTCTGTTGTCCTAAAATGTTCAGCTGTGAAGTGAGAAATGAGACCTGAATTGTAGAGTAGGCTTTTTGTCTCCTGGAACTGGACAAGTGAGTTTTTAAAAGGTGTCAGTGCACATCTATGGTGCTAGCCAGAATGAATGTCTTCTTTCCTCTTTCTCTCTCAACAGCTCTGAGCAGCGCGTCCCCTGCGCCACTTCTTACCATAGCTCTGGTTTGCACTCGGGTGACGGTGTCACAAAAGCAGGACCTCTGGGCCTTCCGGAAATAAGACAAGTGCCAACTGTTGTGATTGAATGTGATGACAATAAAGAAAATGTGCCTCATGAATCAGACTACGAAGACTCTTCCTGCCTCTACACGAGGGAAGAGGAGGATGAGGAGGAGGATGAGGAGGAGGACAGCTCGTTGTACACCAGTGCGTGCATCTCAGCTCCCCCCCGGGGGCGGAGGGGTACGGTTTTGTGGAAAGTGCTGCCAGAGTTGTCTGACACTGTAGCTTCTAATCCATGGTCTAGTGTCAACAGGCCCTAGCTCATGGAGCAGCTTGTTAACCTCTTAGGGCCATGGTTTCTTCACTTAACTGATGAAGAATGAGAAGTGGCAGAGGGCAGATGTCCTGAAAGCAGCTGCATAGCTCCAGATATTGCAACACCACCCGCTTCCTCTTTATGGCTTTCTTTGATTGCTTCCCTTAAGATGCAACCTCCTCCCTCAAACAAAGAAGAGGGGGAGTCCTAAAGCTCAGTTCCAGTTTATAAGATATTCAGACATACTAATCATTGTGTGCACAACAAATTCATTTCTAGGCACACATCAGCTACTTTAGAATGTTCTGAAGCCTCTAAATATGCTAGAGAATATACGAAGAAAGCAAACTTAAAAATCTATCACTCTGGTCAGAAATGATAAATAGAGCCTCCCTGGCGGCCTAGAGGTTAAGTCTCAGCACTATCACCACTACAGCCTGAGTTCACTCCCCAGCCAGGGAGCTACCCACATGGCGCGGCAGACCTCTCCTGTCTCGCCCGCTGCTCCCCTCAGCAGTGCATTTCAGTCAGTCGGCCTGTTCTGTTCCCTGCTCTGTCTCTGGAGCATCCTTTAACCTGCCGACCCCACCCACATCCCTAACCTACTCATCAGTTCTTCTACTAAATAAATAAATAAAATAATCTTTTAAAAAAGAAATGATAAATAAATTTTAGTTCTGAGTATGAACTGATATTTAGTCAACTTTTTAATAAGTGAATTTATATTATAGTGAACTTTTACTGAATATACACTGTGTGTCTGACAACATACTAATATTTTATTCTCTTATCTGCATCTTACAATAGCTGGTGACATCGTCATCACCCACTTCTTCTACAGATAAGGGAACAAAATAAAGAGGCAAGGGACTTGCTCAGAACCTCACATATGTAAGTGGCTATGCTGGGATTTGATGCCAACTAAGCCTAGTTTCAAAGCCCATGTTCTAAAATGAGTGGAGGAAGAAAGAGATGAGTGCCACTAAATAAAATCCAAAGGAATCCCTCAATTTACTGTTTCCCAGTCTCTGCCTCTTGCTTTACACTTCCCAGGCTTCAGATTGCTTGCTAAACTTGAAAGCTGTCAGGAATCCTGGTGAACAATAAAATGATCAAAATAATGTCAAGCGCTTCATAATGTCAAAGACCCACATGATGGCTGAATGGAAGGAGCAGCTGCTCAGCCTCCGATCACCATTTCTTGCCCAGAGAATAAAACGTTTCAGAGCAGGGTTTCTCAATCTCCGCACTATTGACACTTTGCACCGATAACTGTTTGTCTTAGGGACCATCTGTGCATGTAGGATGTTTAGTAGCTTGCCTGGCTCTACCCACTAGATGCTGGGCACAATCTCCCCCTTAAACCCCAGTTTTGACAAGCAAAAATGTCTCTAGCCCTTGCCCAGTGTCCCCTGAGGGTGAGGTCGGGAGTGCAAAATGGCCCTGATTTAGATCTGAGTTTACACCAGATGTGAGAAAGCCCTGCCCCGGCCTCTCAGAATCTCTTATGTTAATAAGAAGAAGCAATCCTTAGAAAGACCAAACTTCCACTCCTGCTCCAAACTGACCCCACTATCTCTGTCCAGCTTTATTTTTCTTGTACCCCAGCACTGCTGGCGCTTTCCCCCATGGGGAGGCGACCAGCCCACCTGCTGCTGGAATCACAGCTACCCTGCAGGCACCAGTCTCCCCTGTTCTGTGAAGCTTCCTAGTCACTCGCACCTCCACATTCTGTTGCACCCACAGTCTGTCCTGCCCTCCTTTGTGCTGTTGCCTGCATGCTGGCCATTCCTAGAGAGAACCCCATAAGCAGTCCCCCTGTTTTCCCCCACACCTACCACACTTTGGGTGCCTAAAACATGCAGGCTGCAGGAACTTTGTGTAAATGTCCTTTGTGGCCTTAACTGCTCTCAGGTGTTAAGCACTTTGTGTTTGTCTTTCTGCCTTTTATCTTGGGACGCATGCATGGCCCTGTGGAAGCCCAGTCAGGTTCAAATAGATATTATTAACTCGTTTCTCCCTCCTGCAGGCTCCTTGGCCATGAAAGTGTGCAGGAAGGACTCCTTGGCCATCAAACTCAGCAACCGACCTTCCAAGCGAGAGCTCGAAGAAAAGAACATCCTTCCCAGGCAGACAGACGAGGAGAGACTGGAGCTGAGACAGCAGATTGGCACCAAGCTCACCAGGTAGGACAGCAGAACCACCAAGTCCACACATTTGAGTGGAAGTATCTAGGCTCCATCCCCAAATCAGGCATAAGCGTGTCTTAAATAGCTTACAGCAGAAAGCCAATGGAGAACATTGCATTTTTTCTCAGTATTGCTTCTATTGTCCCCTTCCCTTTCAACATCTTGGAAATTTCATGTGATTAAAGGTTCAGGGAATAGCTGGGGCAAGTTTTCAAGGAGAGTAGCCAGCAGTAGAAAAGTCACCACCATGCAACTGAACTGAGGGCCTATATGCACAGAAGTTGGGGCTTGATTAAGCACCAAGTTATCAAATAGGCATATTAGCTACTATACCATACAACTAGCAGAGGTCAGTGGTTATTAATATGCCTCATTACATAACTGTGGCTCTCCTGGCCCTGTATATATGGATATTACAGTCATGGATGTCATGTATGTTATATTAATATATAAGACACCTACATGTGTTTGTAACACAGGGCATGTTTTTATGGAACTAGCAAACAGTTATGGACCACCTATTAGTTACCAGTCCTCCTACTAAACATTTTATATATATTAAATCATTTAATCTTGAACCTCCCTATGAACTACAGATTCTTGGTCCCATTTTACAGATCAGCACATCAGGTGTACAGAACTTCAGTTACCCACATAATGTGAAACAGAATGGCCCCAGAGCACTCCCTCTTGACACTGTGTTTTTGCTGCCTCTCTATAGTAGTTGTCACATGAGCCCTTACTTTGTCCCAGATCCTGTGCTGAGTGTTGGGGGCAATGTGTCTAGAAGTCTCCCAGGGGCTTCACCCGACTCTCCTTCTTAGTATTTCTATAGCGTTGAGTAAATCACCTATTGTGTTGGTCTAAGTTTCTGCATTTGTAAAATGAGTTGTAAGAATTACATATAAGCAAAATAAGACAGTCCCTGGCCCACAATAAACACTCAGTTAGCAGTTATTATTTCATGTTCTCCGGTGAGGAAACTGGTGCCTAAAGAGGTTCTAGAGGCATAAAGTCACCCAGCTGTGTGTTACCGTTCTGTTATCTAAGGGCAGCTGCTTTCTCAAGATTACCTTCATTTCCTTCTGGAAGATATCGTTGTAGTGATTCAGTTGCAGTATTAGAGACAGAATGAAAATTCCTAATTACTGCCCCTCCCTACCTCCACTCACAATCCTCTGTGAACTAGAGCACCCCTAATACCTCCGTGATAGCTGCTCACAGTACTCTGGAGAGCCTGACTTCTCAACAGCCTTCCTCGGCTCGACTGATACCTCTCTCCCTGTAACTCCCTTTGGTCTTGGTCTTGTCCTTCTGCAGCTTCTCAAGACCTCATCCCTCTTACCGTGCATGTTTTAGTATATTTGGAGACAAGTTCCCGGTGTCCCCAAGTCCCCTTTCCTAGACTGCATATAGCCAGATCTCTCTAGGGGCACGGATGTAGTTCAGGCCTGCTTTCTGAACCAGCTCATTCAATTTCATACCTCGTACAAGCAGTTATCCTTTTGGGGCTAGGAAAAATCAAAGGACCAGTCCTGACCCAGTCCTTCTGCCCAAAGTTCAACTCCATCCCCAGTGTGGGCATGGAGTATCTGCACTTCTCATTTCCCAGTTTTGCTGTAATACAAGTAGAGCCCCGGATGTGTGAGGGGAAATGGAGGACTTCGCTGAAGACATAAACAAGCTGCTTGCACATCTGACTGCACAAGGTGCACCGTCTGTGGAGAGAGGGGAGAGAGATGGGCAATACGGAAAGCAGATGTGTGTGCAGCTGGCACAGTTGTGTGTGGCTGGCCATTCTGTTTGTCCACTGTAGAGCTGTCCCATGTAAAAGTATACAATGAAGTGATAAACACCATTGTTCTAGAACATATTCCCAAAAGGGGAAACCACCCCTGACTCCTTGTGCCTGAATCCACAGCCACATACAGCACATCCATCCATGCACTGGAAGAACTTCTCTGCATTTGAAACTTTATCTTTGTAAATACACCCTTTCCTAACCCTTCCTGTCCTAGCAATACTTAGATACTGCTTAGAAGTCATAAAATCCATGAAAGGGTTACCATAGTATACATCCATCCCCAGCCTTTTTCACCCCAGTCATTAGAAGGAGAAGACACCCTAATCAGGGACAGAGAGATGGGAGCAAAGGGGACTGAGTTGTGGGCACTCAAGGTGTTGAACAGGCCTGTGTCCTGGCTTTAAATGTACCTCATCTTTGTTCTTTCAACTGGGGGGTTTATTTTTTTCACCTAAGACCCTTGGCTCTCTAGCTAGATGACAGGAAGGGGGTCTAAAAGAGAGGACATTGAGCACGTGTAGCAGGTTGAATGGCCGTACATCAGGTGAAGAGGTCAAACCTGCATCTCAAGGTCTTTTTTGAGGAAGTGCAGCCACTGATTTATATACAAGGAGTTTTAAAGACTGTTCCCCTAAAAATTAGAACCCAATTCTGTGCTTGCAGCCACTCATTTACCCTGAAGCCTGGGCAGAAGGAATCTGAGAACCACAATGTGCCCCTGATAGACAGACAATCACCTAAGGTCAGGAACCTGCGTTCTGGCAGTTTCTGTACTTTTCTAAGCCTTATTTGCTCTCCTGGGCCTTCATTTCCTAATCCTCAGGGATTAGACTAAGCCATTTGATTACTATGCAAAATTGCAACTTCATTATCATAAAAAGAAATTAAAAGTATAGAAATTTGGTGTTATGTGCATTTCTAATGCTGTAAGGCTGCAGCATTCCCTAGCTATTTAAATTAGTAAAAATGGACCAGATCTTCAGTCTCTGAGAGGCATGTCATCAGGTCTGCAGGCCTCAAGGAGTGAATAAGACATAAACATAAATCTAACCTGATAGTTTTAATAGCATTAAAAAAACAAACAGTAATACAGCATCCAAGAATGATCCCACATTGGGAGTAGGAAAAGAAACACCAAATAAAATGATGTTAAGCATAGGGCCTCCCCGGTGGCGCAGTGGTTGAGCGCTGGGTTGCGAAGCTGCCCGCAGCCTCTGCAGCACCAGTTCGATCCCCGGCTGCTCCCCGGCCACCGGAGGAGGGTCCCACATGGCGCGCAGACCTCTCCTGCCGCCCGCTGCTCCCCTCAGCAGTGTGCTTCGGTCCTTCTGCCTGCTCTGCTCCCCGCTCTGGCTCTGGTGAATTCTCTCACCCTCCCACACTTCTGACTGTGCCCAGTGATTATATAAATAAATAAATAAATCTTTAAAAAAAAATGATGTTAAGCATAAAGATAAAGTTTCTATAGAAGGATGCAAATTCTATATAAGAATTCCACATAAGATTCTATATAAGAATTCTGAAAATACTTTCTCATTGATGATTGGGCAGACTCTCCTAAACCTCATTCACTGGTCATGAGGATGTTTTGATAATAAACAACTATTTTAGTCAAATGCCGTCTGGAAAGGCAAACATGAGACACGAACATGGTCAGCTGGGTGCTCACATCTCTGCAGAGAACCAAGAGGTGAGCAAGTGGATACTCAAGTGTGGGGGGTGAAAACAGAACTTCAATTTTAATGTGTTTTATATCATCCTTTTTAAGTTGGCTGGTCTGTTCTGTATTTCATGCCCAGTATAGCAGTGCCATAGCTCCGTGTATATGTGTGTAATATGTAAATAGGAAATGGCATATGTGGAAGTGTATGCTTAGATTTTTTTTTTTTTTAATGGAGTTCTCAAGCATACAGTCTGCATATCTGTGGGCCCCTTCTGAGGGCTCATGATCAGGTCTTTTCATCTCCTAAAATCTCTGGTTAGTGAAAATGTCCCCTGACAAGGAAACACTCCTAGGGGGCTTCAGTCTGAGCCCACGTTTCAGCCACACAGGCCAGCAAGCCAGGAGCATATCAGCTGCTGCCACTGCTCCACCTACTGGGAATTGTAGGGATGGACTGAGGGGCCCAGCTCCCGGGCCTGGGAAAGGGCTTTTGAGATTCTATGATCAAGGTTAAAAAGAGAACACCACAGACACCGGTGAGGGCAGGCAAGGAGTTAGCATTTATTGATTAGCAAAAGAGCAAGAAAAGAGAGCTCCAGGGAAACCTCTCTGGCATGAGAGACTTCCCAGGGTGCCTGCATCAGGGGTCTACGTAGGTTTTAGGGCTGGGGTTTGAGAACACAGGAATTAAACTTTATTGGCTGAGAAATCAAGACTGAGGTCCATTTTGTCTTTCTGAGTGTGGTTCATATACTGTTGCTAATTGTGAGCACCAATCAGTTGACTTGGTGGTCAGACAGGGCTTGTGACCATCTTGGAGTGAACAGCATATGGAGGCTGTATGCCCGGAGCTCCAGTTTGAACTGGTCTCGTCTCAGGGTCTGTGACTCTTTTCCTTTACAACAGCCAGCCTGGTAAGCTATAAAGTCCAGGAATGCACAGGCTAGGGAAAAATAGTAATAAAAGCCATCAACCAGGGAAATTTATGCCAGCAGATATTTGGGCCTAGAGTCACCAGATTTGTTTAACCTCTTGTTTACCACCATGTGGGAACAGCAAAGTTATGTCTGTCAGTCTTTTCCCTGTCCCAGGACCCTTCCTGTCTCAGAAATACAGATGTTCAGCATAATCCTTCACCCCACTAGAACCCCTCCAAATACAAGACCTTACTCCTTTCCTGTGGGTCTCTTCTCTGGTCCTTCAACCTGAGCTCTAGGGAATGATCAGCCTAACTATGTGGTTGTAGCTCTCAGATCCACATCTAGTACCCTTCATTTATAAAGCTTTTTTAAATTTTTTAAAAATTATTTGTGAATACAAGAATTAGAGGTACAGGGGGAGAAGTGAGAAGATTTACCGGAGACAGAGTGGGGAGCAGAACAGGTGGATCTACTGAAATACACTGCTGAGGGGAGCAGCCACCATTGAGACAGGAGAGGTCTGATGTACCATGTGTGGGTTAGCTCCCTGGCCAGGGAATGAACTCAGGCCACAGTGGCTGTAGATAGATTCATGGCACTGAGACTAATC